GAGAGGCACTCGAAGTAGCGGTACGAGAAAAGTTTAATTAAGTCGACCGGTCCTTCTGTGCTGTGAGAATAGGTAGTAATTCAGTTTTAAAAAGTTGCAATTCAAAACAATGGCGGATTTTTTGAACATTTTCTAAAATAACTTAAAGTGTATGTAGTGATATTCTTTCTTAAGTTTTAGTTTGTGTAATGTAAATTGTAAAGAATGTGAAACCACTTGAAAACCGTTCTCTAAAAAACGTAACATTCACCGGTCAACGTCCTCGAAAATGTATGACCAAGAAAAGTTGAACCAATAATCCTACACGCTTTTCTTTATTTGAAAAATTCATATTTACAATTTTTGTTTATTTTAATTTACAAAGTTTGGATGTGGCAGCTTCACATTTATGAGAGCAAAAACGATTAAAGCTGTTTCCATGGCTAACTAAATGAACTTGTTTAAAAATGATAAGAATTGGCTATAACTCAGTAATTTTTCGAAGAAAAATATTATAGCTTATATCGCTGAAAAGCTTAAAAAATGGCGATATTTTTATGAAGTCATGGCCAACTATGGTTTCCATTTACAAAAACATATATGTCATCATGTGTCATATGTCAAAAATTACAGGCTCTAGAAAAAAACGGAGGATTTCTCATTAAGAATGCGATTATCTACAACTTTTATCTGAAAACTTTTTGTCTAAAATATCTTATAATGGAATTAGAGACAATTTTTAAAATAGCCGAAATTTGTTTTTTAGAAATATCTAGTAAGCCATGAACTTTTTCAAAAATCTGGAAGGCGCATATTTATGACCCCACAAAACTGCAATTCTTTCCCCATTTAACCGACTCTCTATCTCCAGTAGTTTCCGAGATACCCATAGAGAACATCGTAGGAAACTCACCCTGATATCTGGGGTTGGCATGGGTTGGCACACTGTACAGGGTGGCTCCAATTCGACGCTCATCATTGGGATTTCGGAAACCGTAAGAGATACAAAATCGGTTAAATGGAGGCAAAGTTGCGCAATTTGATGCTCAATAAAATGCCGTATTGCATTTTGAAAAATTCCGAATATATTCGAAAAAAAAACGGAATTTTCAATTTTGCTTTCTATTGTTTCCTGGCTTTATTTGTTAAGATAACTTAAAATGATAAACACATTTTCATGGCCACTTTTCTGCTCTATAACTCTGTGTGATTAAATACTGACTCTGACGTTTCGGCTTCTGGCGACCATCATCAACTTAATTTTTTTAAATACGGACCTGATTTTTTTTTCAATTTAATTAAATCCTTTCATCACTCTTAAAACACTATATATAATCACTTTGATATTTGCCGACGTTTCGTACAGAAAATTCCATCACCAGAATATTTTATCCAAAAAAATGCAATACGGCATTTTATTGAGCATCAAATTGCGCAACTTTGCCTCCATTTAACCGATCCTGTATCTCTTACGGTTTCCGAAATCCCAATGATGAGCGTCGAATTTGAGCCACCCTGTACTTTAGTAGATAAAAATACTTTTAAAGTATATCTTTGTTATCGTTTAATCTGAGTTTCAATATTTTCTATACATTAATAGTTTTGTGTAATATGACTGTGGCTGACTACCAATATAGTGTGTACAACAAATTTGAACACACATAGCAATTTCACAATAAAAATGTTCAGAATGTTCATTTATTTCACATTTTGGTTCGTTTATACGAATTTGAATTCTTAACACCAGTATTTATTAAGTAGGTAATGGGACTGGATTTTACGCGGCTCACTTATACCCAGTTTTATTTATAATTCCATATTAGATAGAAAAGGTTTATATGTACAGGGTGGGTCAAATTCGACGCTTTTAAATGGAAACACCCTTTTCTATAGGAGATAGACGAAACCTAATATCGGTGTCTGGAGCTCAATTTTCATCAAAAACATGATGGTGAAAACCGCACATCGATATCTGTTACCGTTTCGGAGTTACGGGTTGTTTTTCAAAAATATGCATTTTTAACAAATCGCTGTAACTTTTTTGCTATGGAAAATTTTGTATTTCTATGAAAACATTTCCAAAGCACCTTTTTACGTAGAATTTAATGGTTTAAGTATAATTTTTTTAAAATTAATAATTTAAGAGTTATCAACAGAAAAATTGATTTTTTATTTGGGACACCCTCTATATTTTTAATTAACAAAAAAGAATTTAAAATTACCTTTCCAAAAATATAGCACACTTGATATTTTGTTATAATCCCCTTCGAAATACAGAATTTTTAAAAGTTCGCCACTTTTAACTAGTAGGCTTTGGACCCCTTATTGATGATATGCCCTTAATGGAACTCGAAAACATATTTTTCCAGCAAGACGACGCACCACCTCTGAACGCTGAAGTTATCAGCAAATTTTTGCAGCCAATTTCATGAATAATTGAATAGCTAACCAACATTCCAGCCGTTGGCCGTCGAGGTCGCCTGACTTTGTGCCCATGGATCTAATCATATTGATATATTTGCAGAAGAATAAATGTTCCTTATTTTTCGGTATAATTTAGACAAGAATTAGAAATACTTAGCAGTTATGAGAGGGTATCTTTCACCCCCACTGAGTTAATGAATTCCGCGAGAAATGTTCAAAAACTGCCCCGTCTGTCCATAACAGAAGACGGTTGATATGTCGAACACCTGTAGCAAAATCTCATGTCTTGGTTTGCTATTTATTTTTATTGTTATTAGATATAGTTTAAATGTGTTGATATTGGTTAAATATATTTTAAATTGTTATAAAATTCTGTATCTCTCATTGCAAATATTATTTTCGTTTTAATTGATGCTCACAGCTAGAATGTTTTTGTATTACAGCCGGTGCCGTTCAAAGCCTACTTATTTAAATTTTTATATACTCTATATCTCGAAGAGGAATCGAGCAAAATATCAAGTGTGTTATATTTTTGGAAAGGTAATTTCAAATTCTTTTCAATAAATTAAAAATATACAGGGTGTCCCATATAAAAAATCAAATTTTCTGGTGATAATTCTTAAATTATTAATTTTTAAAAAAATATACTTAAACCATTAAATTCTACGTAAAAAGGTGCTTTGGAAATGTTTTCATAAAAATACAAAATTTTTCATAGCAAAAAAGTTACAGAGATTTGTTAAAAATGCATATTTTTGAAAAACACCCCGTAACTCTGAAACGGTAACAGATATCGATATGCGGTTTTCATCATAATGTTTTTGACAAAAATTGAGCTCCAGACACCGATATTAGTTTTTGTCTGTCTCCTATAGAAAAGGGTGGGGTTGAGGAACTCAGTTTCAGGGGAGAAGGTTCCTGCACGGAGAGTCTTAGGACATTGCACCTCCATGAACCCTCCCAAGACCGCTGGGTACTCTCAACAATGATTGAGAGTATGTGATCTCTGATCACATCCTTCACGAGGTGGCCCTGTTGAAACTGAACTCAGTGGATCTAGACCGGGAAGTCATAAACATCTCCCAAGCTAAGCTGTTAGACACCGTGGCGAAGGCTGGATAGCAATAGGGTTATAGCTGTAACGAACGGTTCCTTTGGGGCAACAGGTCGCACCCCATCGGATCTAGACCTTACCTCCGCATGCGGGGCTCTGTGGAGGTGGACTTCCTTTCCCTAGCTTCTCGTGGGACAATATGGATAATAAATCTCAAAGGTCAAAAAATACAACAAAAGGCCAAAAAGTAACCAAAGCTGAGGGGCATGGTAACTCAAGGGCCACAAAACAGGTTCCTAAAGCTGAAAAGCAGGGAACTTCCAGAGAAATTCCACAAGCCGAAAGGCCGGGAACTTCAAAGGAATCCTCCCACGCTGCAAGGCAAGGAGCTACTAAGTCTGTCAGAGTAACTGCGACGGAAGACGTAGAGCTCATGACAGACGCAGAAATCAGGGCTGCTAAGCTCTCTGGCATCTCTAAAGCTAAAATCACCAGATTGGTAAAGGAAGGCCAAGATTACATACAGGCCAAACGGGCCGTAATCAAAGCCAACTTTGTCAAAGCTGCTGAAAGGGCAACAGAGGAGCCGTCAAAGCCTTCAAGGGCCATGACAAAATGTGTAAAACCACCGACCGCAGGGTCAAAAAGGCCAAGTTCTGACCAAGGCACACCACCTCAAAGCCAACGCAAAAGGAAAAGGCCAAAAACCGATGGTGTGTCTTATAGCGAAGCTGCTGCTTCCGTTAGGTTAGCAGTGGTACATAAGGGTTTCCCGGAAGTCAGGATGGAACCGGACAAAGCTTATGGCAGTCCAGAAATCCATCCTGACTGTGTACGAAGCGATTCCGGAAGAGAACTACAGGTCCGATTCTGAGGGGCACGTACAAGCCGGGATTCCTGGAATTAATCTGTGCGGATGACACTACTGCGAAGTGGGTAAAGGAGGTCGTTCCGTCTCTAGCGCCGTGGGAGGGTGCCACTCTTGCGGTGCTGGAGGGGGATGAAATACCCAGGCCCAACCCATGTGTCGTCTTCATACCGGACGAAAAAGACGGGGAGCGTCTTGAGGCTAAAAGGATTCTCAAGAGATTGGGTATAAGTAACCATAGCCTCAGGACGCATCTGTGGACTATCTGGGGCAGTAAACCCTCAGACAGGGGGGTTCTGTGGACCTTCTCGATGGACCAAGGTTCAAGAGATGCTCTCCAGGAACTCCAAATGTCTCCATTCTACGGGATGTGAAGGGTGACCTTCCGGCCTAAAGAAGAGAAGACAACAGTATCGCGGGAGAAGCCAGACGCAACTACCTGTATTGTAGAAGGGGAGCAATCCCTACCGATGGAAGTTCAGGTGGAGGAAGAACCTCTTCTGATGGAACCAGCCCGCTCAAAAGGACATTGGTCCAAGAGCTCGCGGAATCCATCGGGGAGGAAGAGTCCTGTAAACCTGACCCTTCCAACTCTTCGCAGTGAAGAGAGAAATAAGGATCCTGCAGGCCAACCTTCAGCACGCAAAAGCTGCTTCAGCAACGCTGGTCAGAAGGATGGAACAAGAAGGCATTGATGTGGCCCTCCTGCAGGAACCCTGGAGGATAGGCGAGAAAATTGCTGGTCTATCATCTAAACAAGGTAAGGTTTTATGCACGCCTAGGCCCATAAGACCAAGAGCGTGCATAATTCATAGTAATAGAGTAGATTGTACACTAATACCGGTGCTCTGCACCGATGATGTAGTTACAGCTATTCTAACACTAACCACGGAAGAAGGAGAAAAGAGAATGGTGATATGCTCAGCCTACTTCCCTGGCGATGAAGCTCAATGTCCACCTAGCATTATAAGCGACGTACTTGCATTCTGCCTAGAAAAAGGAATACAGCTCATTATAGGATGTGATGCCAACGCACATCATACCGTGTGGGGCGGCACTAACATCAATACTAGAGGTGAGTCTGTTTTAAATTTCACCTTATCTGAGGGTTTACTAATATCCAATATAGGAAATAAACCTACGTTTGTCACTAGGGCTCGTAAAGAAGTTTTAGACTTAACTCTTTGCACAGGCAAGGTAAGTGATAACATAACAAACTGGCATGTGTCGGACGAACCGTCGTGTTCGGACCACAGACATATTCGGTTTGACCTTAATATCTTTCCGTCAGAAATCAAATACCGTAACCCAAGAGATACAAACTGGATAGGATTTAGAATGTCTCTCAGTAGGTATCTAGACGGTAATACGGAACAGATAAAGGGCGTAGAAGCTCTAAACTCGACAGTGGAAAGGGTAAGCGAAGCAATTGTGATGAAAACTGTCCAGAAAAAACTAAGAAAAACACGGGTAGCAATACAGTCTGGTGGAGCAAGGGCTTGAAGAGTCTCTTTAACAAGGCCAAAAGCAACCAAGATTGGGCTACCTACCGGTATAAGCTCACGCAATACAATAAATAAATTAGAAAAGCCAAAAGGAATTCATGGAGAAAGTTTTGCGAGGAAATTACAGATGTCCCGGCATGCTCTCGTATCCACAAAGTCCTGGCAAAAGATGGGGCAACCATCAAGGAAATAGGTTTCATTAAGAAAGCTGATGGCACTTATACAGAAACTAAAGAGGAAAGTCTTAAAGAATTAATAAAAGTTCACTTTCCGGCCTCGCTAATTCTGAGGGACTCTACTAGGCAAACCAACCTAGACCCAAGGCTGGCCAGGCCAAGGCCTGTGGATTGGAAAATTGCCACAGAAGTTACCAGACCAAGTAGAATTAGATGGGCAATAAATAAATTCCAGCCGTATAAATCTCCGGGTACAGACGGTATATATCCCATACTATTACAGATGGGAATAGAGGAATTAATACCTCACATATGTAAGATTCTCAAAGCTAGCCTGGCATGGGGAGTCATACCAGAAAGATGGCAAAAGGTTAAGGTCATATATCTTCCTAAGGTAGGCAAGGTATCGGACTTTACACCAAAGTCATATAGACCGATAAGCCTATCCTCCTTCCTACTGAAAACGCTAGAGAGGCTCTTGGATAGGTTTTTAAGGGACGAAGTGCTAAGGGATAGTCCCCTAAGCAATCGTCAATATGCATACCAACCAGGTAAATCCACGGATGCTGCATTAGATGATTTAAATAGGCTTATTTCAAAGTCGATAGAGGACAAAGAAATAGCAATGGCCGCTTTTTTAGATATTGAGGGAGCATTCAATAATGCTACTACCGACTCACTAGTAAATGCAATGAGTAGAAGAGGTACACCTGCAGTGGTATGTAGATGGATAAGGGCCGCCTTAGAAAACAGGATAGTGATTTCCACTCTAGGGCAAGCTACTATCAAAGCAGTAGCGGGTGGAGGTTGTCCACAGGGAGGAGTGTTATCTCCTCTACTTTGGGCAACCTTGGTAGATGACCTCCTCAACGAACTGTCCACACAAGGTTTTTATTGCCTAGGATATGCAGACGACATCGTAATTGTGGTCAGGGGCAAGTTTGCTGGTATGATATCAGAAAGAATGCAGACAGCCCTAAACAAAGTTGACAAGTGGTGCAAACAAAGAGACTGACAGTCAATGCTCAGAAAACACAAATTGTCAATTTTACAAAAAAGATAGCACCAAAAGGCCTAAAACCACCAGTGCTAGGAGAAACGGAGATTTCATTTGCCAAAGAAACAAAGTATCTTGGGATATTTTTTGATCAAAGGCTTACATGGAATACTCACATAGCGAAAGCAACACAGAGGGCTGCCATCTCTTTAGGTAGGTGCAGAAGGATGTGTGGAAAAAACTGGGGACTTAACCCTAAAATGACTCTATGGCTATACACAAGGGTAGTAAGACCCATGATAACCTACGGGTCGGTGGCGTGGTGGACAAAGACATCGCAAGTGGGTGCGGTAAGGCTGTTAAGTTCCACACAAAGGCTTGCGTGTCTGTGTGTAACTGGGGCCATAAAAACACTCCTACAAATGCGATGGAAGTCTTGTTGAACTTACCACCACTACATATTTTCATACAAGGCGAAGCCAGATCTGTCATGCACAGGTTAATTCACGGTCAGCAGCACATAAGCCAAACGCATAGTGCTGCTAACCAGAAGCTAATCGAAGAGCTAAAAGCAGACAAAGTATTGGGATTGCCAATTGATGCAACAGCTACTAGGTATAGCTTCAACAACAAATTTAATATAACCATACCAGGAAGGGAAGACTGGAGTAAAGGTGTACCCATTCAAGCTGAGGCAACCTGGTATGCTCAAAAACGTCAGAAGGCGTAGAAGCTGAGATAGTAGGGCCGAAACAAGGGAGACCTTCCACGTAAGCCTATCCAAGGATGTCACAATTTTCCAGGCAGAAATAACGGCAATCCACTATTGTGTAGAAGAAATAATAAGGCAACAAAGAACAAATCGTTCTGTGGCGATCTTCACAGACAGCCAAGCGGCGCTAAAGGCACTCAGCTCCACGGAGGTCAATTCTAGACTAGTGGGGGACTGTGTGCGTGCTCTGAATACTTTGGGCGAACGTAGCACTGTTACGTTGGCCTGGGTGCCAGGGAACGAGGGTCACAAGTGTAACGAAAAGGCAGATGAAAGGGCCAAGCAAGGCTCATCAATGCCATTCATAGGCCCAGAACCCTTCTGCGGCGTTGCAAAGGCGGTCATGAGAATGGCCACGGAGCGATGGGTGGCCAACAAATCTCTAGAATGGTGGATAAACTCACCAGGGCAGACAGGCGAAAAGGTTCATTGTAGAACGTTCGCCAAAATTCATGGTAGACTTGATAAGCAAGGACAGAAAGACAGTCAAAGCTGTAGTAGGTCTACTAACAGGGCATTGTAAGCTAAATAGGCATCTAAAGCTGATGGGATTGACAGACGAAGCTATGTGTAGGTTCTGTCAATCTGAAGAAGAAACGTCAGAACACATTTTATGTCGGTGTGACAGCCTGGCAAATGTGCGGTTCCCGGTAATAGGCAATGATAGGCCATTGCCAAGGAGCTACATGGAGGGTTCAGTCTCCAAGTTGCTGAACTTTGTAAAAAGGATAGGACTGGAGAATGTAATCTAAGGATCAGAAGAGGACCACAATAGATCTGAGAAGGTCGCAGTGGATCAGGCCGAAAGCCACCTCTAAGAATCTAATCTAATCTAATCTAATAGAAAAGGGTGTTTCCATTTAAAAGTGTCGAATTTGACCCACCCTGTACAGGGTGGCCAATTTGTGCGAGTAAGTCCAACATCGTCGGTCGTCTTGTCGAAGATATTAAAAAAGTTTTACACAGATGTTGCATGGTTTATAAAGGGGCATATCCTAAAAATATTTTGTGGTATACCAAAAAAAAGTTATGATAAAATTTTAGGTTTTTTACCACCTCTACTTTTCTGTACAGATTTGAATTCAGCATAAAATTCTGTATATAGTGGCGCTATTTTAGAGATTTTATTTTAGAGATTAGAGATTTTTCTGGGAGATTTTTAACAAAAATAAAGCTATTTATATACAGGGCGAGTCTTAAATAAGTGCATGAGGTTTTTTCCGCAAAAAAGATGTTGGTAATTGTGCATTTTTTATTAAATTTTATTCCTGTATATGTCGGAAAACTTTTTAGAACTGCCTGTTCACCGCAAATTTTCCCACGGTAGAATTTCTAAATCTCCGATATTACCATGGTTACGGCTTTACTCTATGGTTACGGCACTAAAAGCGATGCACATATACTAGAAAAAATCCGGTGGCTCCCACTTGAATAACTCTTAATATTTGCACTTATTTAAAATTCACTATGTATAACCAAATTTTCTGAGCACACTGTATGTTATTAAAAATTTTTTTTTGGAATTTCAACATACTCGTGTTACTAACGTGTTTCATGTTTGGTAATGACTCGGATGTTTGGTGTTATTATCCAATACTTGAATTTTAATCGCTTATATTTTTCATAAAGCATGTCAAATTTAACAATATCGTGAACTCTGTTTATAAAAAACGCAGAATTTTATTTAAAATTTTTACCAAACACGTCTAATAGTTATCTGTTTTGTCTGGTAAATATTTACCAATATATAAATTTTGGATATTATTTGTAGGCCTCTATGATCTTCAGAATAATATGTTTAAATAAATCCATTTTAAATTTCAAACTATCTACATTAAAATTGTCAATAATGAAGTTGTCCCAAGGAGATATATCTTAATTAATATAACTTATTTTATAACAATATTCTAAATATACATATATACAATTATTTATCTAGGAACTCTAAATTTAGAAGATTCAAATAAATTAATTAGGAAAATAATAATAGTGAAAATGCTGAATGATGAATTAGTTCTTTATAGTTTGACTTGCATTGTATTGTATTGACTAAGAGTGGGTCCCAGGTGGGACCCTCCACTGCGGCCGCGAGGGCCTATTGTGGCTCAGTTTCTACAAGCTCTTTAATAGAAACAGAGCATAAAAGTTCACCCTCAAGACCCAGCGTTTTAACATAGGCCGTTATGTCCGAGGGTGATATGTCTTCTAGGTCTGATAGGTCTAGCGTGGGTTTGACAAACACCTCAAACCTGGTCATCCCCCCAGCGGGGCAGGTACACATAACATCGTGTTTCATTGTTTCGTCATCTTCCATACAGAGTCGGCTTTCGGCGTCTTCCACCAGTCCCATACTCTGTAGGTGTGATCTCAGCCGGCAGTGGCCCGTATATACGCAGTGAGCGTACGCGCTCCGTTCCTACCAGTCTTTAGGAGTTCATCTGTTCTACGTTTGGATGGCCCTGCTAGGATTGTCTTGGCATGTTTCATTCCGGGATTGTCATACCAGTACCGAAACGTCGCACCCCTAACCCATTTACAGAGCCTATCTCTTGCGAGATTTATTGGTACGCTAAGTGTCGGTCCTGGGCCCACGAATGGCGAGCCTGCACCAGTTTTGGCGAGGGAATCAGCACGCTCATTTCCCTCTAAGCCGACATGTCCTGGTATCCACATTAGCGACACTTTGTTCCTATCTCCTAATATATTGAGTAATTTCTTACAATGAAGAATCGTCATAGACGTGCTTTTCGTTGCCTCAACTGCTTTCAACGCGGCTTGACTATTGACTTGCATACTTATCTTTTGCACACTACTTTCTTCAATTTCTTGAGCCTGTTTTTCCAATGTTGCCGATGCATTTACTCTTATAGGATTGTGTGTATGAAATTAATATTTAGTAGTGATTAATTATTCAAGACCAAGTTCGAGACCAACCAGTGCAAGAGTTACGCCAGACCAAGTCCAAGACCAACCACTGCAAGACTTACGGCAGACCAAGATCCAGCATGCAAGTTTCTCGGGGTTTTACGGTCTTGAAAATTATTGTTTTAGTTAATTGCAAATAGTGTTTTCGCAACTTTTACATAAAGTTTTAAAGGAAGCAAAGCTAATTCAATATACAGGGTGTCCTAATATTCCGTGGACATATTACCTATTTATGAAATCAAAATAAGTTCGTTCTATTTTTTCTTCTTAGACTGGCTGTCTGCTACGAACGTTTGCGATAATTCTGGCTATGATGATTTTGTTGGTGGCAATCCGGAAAAGCTGAGTGGTTTCTTTAAAGTTTCATTTGTATTTTTTGCCTCAATATTAGAGGGCCGTTTTATGCGGAAACATTGCAACCTTCAAGGTCTATTGTGTTTGAAAATTCATTTGTAATAAATTAGTTAAAAAACTAATTATTTAGATGTTTTCTATGTAGAAAGTGACTCTAGTAAAAATCTATAAAAAACGCAATACTTGCAGCAAGACCAAGACCAAGACTCAAGAGATATCCAAGGCAACGACAAAGCCGATGAATTAGCTAGGGAAGAATCATTGGCATCCTACCTTGGTCCAGAGGCAGTACTGGGAATACCCGTGGTCCGTAGTGCACTAAAACTCTGAATCAGGCAAAATGACCACTGGAGAAACAGACAGAGCGTAGGCATAGCAAGGCCTTCATCAAAAGACCTAATTCTAAAACCACAAAGGAACTGCTAATGCATAGTTATGATTAATGCGTAGTAGTAATTTTTAAAACTTTTTTGATTGCATCTTGGTGAACAACCCAAAGCACAACTTTGCCCCAATTTAACCATGTTCGTATCTATTACGGTTACTGAGATACCAATGCTCGTACCTCGAATTTGTAGCACCCTGTATATTTTATAAATCGCTACCTAAATGGAAGCGGCCACGAGTCCACGTGGACTTGACGAATATGTCACCGCAAAACTCTCCGCCCACTCATTTCACTGGCTACTTGCAAATTTGTCGAATTTTTATTGATGGGACGCGTCGTCTAATTTTTTACGAGAAAATCGATAGAATATCGTTTTCCCCCCTTACGGATGCCCCGTAGCTATAGAACGGATAGATGTACACAGGTTTAGGCTATAATCTATCTTTGAAATTTAGTTTTCCGCAAAAATTCCCGCCAAGACGCGGCGTCGCGACGCCTCCCGCTTTCCACCAGGGCGCGCTAGAGTCGGCGCCTGTGGCGCCCCCGCCCAAGCGCGTCGTCCGCGCACCAACGACGACCTTGCGACGCCCTTACGAGCGCCCGAGTGCGCTGATAGTGGCCGAATCGGTCGGACGCTCCGTGGTGCGATGCGTGCCTTCTCCGCGTATTGTGAGTGAATTTCTCTCTCCCGATATATTGTTACGAACAGGAAGACGTCCCGAAAGAACGAAACGATCAGCCAGCCGCTTGTCGCACAGGTTTGTTATAATTTGCACGGATTTATGTCGCTTGCATTCATAAAGCCTTTCTCAATCGAGGTATCGTGCTAGTGTTTTTGTTTATATTTCTTTAGGCCCGGTCGATTGAAAAAAGCCGGTTGATAGTTTACTGTTGGTTTACTCATTTTTACGTTCAAGTAATGTAGTGATATTAATAGAGATTAAGAAGATTATTGGATTATTAAGGACAAATAGGATCATATAATATTTAGATACTTTACTTTAACCGCACTAAGATATAAAATATTGATAGAAAAATGCCGGTTTTCTCTGATATTTGTTGTTTTCTGAATCTAAAATATTTTGACTTGACAGTTTTAGGTATAAGAATTCTAATGTACTTATAATAAACTTCCATAAGAATTATTTATGTGTTATCTATTAATATACATAGAGAAGATTATTTATTATAATTATTCCAAATATGACGCAAAATATAATATTTATTTGACTTTATCTTCAAAGATATATTTTTTTAAATAATGATAGAAAAATGCCGATTGTCAGTACTAATTTGTGATTTTTAAAGTAGTTTGACTTTTTTTTTGATATGTTGGTATTCTCTGAAAGGTATTTTGTATTCTCTGAGTCCAAAATACTTTGACTTTGCAGTTATAAAAATTCTAATGTAAATTCTGATATAGAAGACTATTATAATTCTTCAGGATAAATATGATGCAAAAATAGAAAGTATATTTATTTTTCGCTCTCAGATATCTACATATATATAAAATGCTAATGTTTATCTGTGTCGTCTCTACAGAAGTAACGATTTGCTCTAGAAAGTTGCTTTTTTTACTAAAAGATAGCTAATTGGCTCTTCTAAAAACTGTCGTCGCCGGATTTTTTGTTTTTCATTTAATTAAACAAAATATATAAAGTATTTTTTTTCCTGATTGTCGTGGCGGATGCGCCAGGCTTCAACTAGTATGTATATATTTTTTTCAAAAATATTGATAGAGAAATGCCGGTTGTTTCTAATATTTTCTGTTCTTTTAATGTTAAACGTACTTTGAATTTGACAGTTAAAAAAATATAATCTAGTTTTCAATAAAAAACTTTTTTCTGTCATCAGGGGCGGATACTGGGGTACAGGTATTGTAGAATATACTGTTTAGTGCGCCATTTTTAACCCAAAAGTTTAATATTTAATCCAATATATAGATTTTAGGGAGAGTCTTGCCCCCAGGGGCTACCTCTTTGTACCCGCCACTGTCTGTTATCATACGAAGCACATTTGATTTGAAAATGAATGAAACTTTTTCATCACATTTTACAACAAACACACACACACATATATTAAGAATAATATTTAATGTTGATTGAAAATAATAGTTCATGATTATTAAGCATAGATATAGTTGATATCTGATATCTTTTTACAATATTTTATTCTATGACAATTAAGCCTGTAGGTAGTAATTTATTTTCCTTCTTTTTAAGGCTTAGTAGATAAATATTTCAAAATTGATATAGGTATTTCCAAAAATAAAATTGTCGATATCAAAAATCTATTGAAATAGACAAATGAATTATCTTTATTAAATCCTGGGATATTGTTTAATATAACAACGCCTTTAATAAGACATTCAATCGTCTTGATCAAGTTTGACTTGTATGTGACAGTTAAATATTTCTTTTTGGAAATTATAATCGATAAAAATATAGACCTTATTTACTTACTAGTTATTTATTTGCTGCTACTTAATAATTAACTCCTTTATATTCTATGGATATTTAGAAATAAATATTTTGAACTTAATGTTTCGATCTGATTTATTTTTACCGGATGATATACGATGAGATTATTTTTATGACTTGACTTGATGTGATGAAGCGAAATAGGAAATGAAAGTGCTATTTTTAACACTCCATTTACTAATTTGATTTCTTATAGGTTTTACATTTTTCTTATGGCGTATGTCTGGAAACTATTTTTGAATATATAGAATGCTTGTCTCAAAAGGGAGTAATGCTAAGATATTTTTTGATTATTTAGGCCTTATACAATATGATCGAAAAAAAATGGCGTCAGAGATGGCTATGAAATGAAGATCGGTATTATTTTATATGAAAAATTATATGGGGAATATCATCGGTTTTCCACGTAGCTGGACACCCTCTTTTTTTCGATAATACGGTAGCGGTTATGGAGTGGTTATGAGAAATATTTTTAATTTTATTACCTACATATACATATCATCTCTTTATTGTACAAACTGATGAAGTCAAGTTAAGAGTCCATTTCACTAGTCCGAAAAAGTAGCAAAATAAGCGTTCGGCACTTAATGTTTTATGTAAAACTGGCTAGGTATTTTTACACAAATGAAGAAGGAAATTAAAGATAAAGGATTATACTATCTCCGTATTGTAGCACATTTTTAGACAACTTCTTTATTTTTAAGATTTTGATGGTCGAACATCAACAAAATATTCCTAATGTTTGGACTAAATTTTCTCGAAAATAAAGACATAATTTAAAATTCTGTTACAATACGGAAATAGACTGAAGTTTTGTGATTACAGTGATATATAATTTATATGATTTTGTACCAATATGCTCGCTGTTTTATGGCAAATGCTGAAGCTCTGCAAACCTTAATCAAGCCTTAATCAAATCACGTGTGTTTGCAATTTTGGGTGTGGCTTAACACGACAGGATCGGGCTAAGCCTTAGGCAGATTTTTGAAATATAATATATATTTTCTTCGGCCACACACCCGCTTTACCCCACCGCTGAGAGTAACCCGAAAGTACAGAGTAATAGACTCTTAAAAGATAGGTGAAACTTACTGAAACTTATTACTTAAAAGCCACTGCTTTTCAAATAAATCAAATCGACGATTGGGAAATATCAACAACTAAATTAGCAATAGAGATTCTAATTACGAGTAAGGAAAATAATTTTTTTAAAGTCTAAAAGTTTTAGACTAAAACTTTTGAAAATATGCCAAATTTATGGAGGTAATTTTTGTGATCTGTTTTAATAAAAAAATAGAATTCTTTTACATGTAGGTCCTATTTATAATGTTTTTTTAACAAATTTAAAATTAGTATCAAGTCTAATTAAAAAATAAGTTGTTAATAAGGGAAGTAGAATGTATAGAGACTGCACATTATTTCTGATCCCTTTGACATATTTATTAATTTAAAGAATTGCTATTAAATTTATTTTTTTAAAGTTTGTATTTTTTGGGACTGTTATTGTTTACTTCTCTTTTTCGATTATTTCTTTTATTTTCATTAAATTTGTCTGGCGATAATGTGTTTTGTAAAATATGAGATTTGCATTGATATTTATACATATTTGCATAATGTATATTTATACTTGTTGTTTATAAACAATGCACTTTTTGACCCCAAAAATATTTTGGCTTAATATCGGCTGATATAATTGCTATCGCAAATCAAAAGTGTTTTTATACCATTGTAAAATATACGTAAAAAGATAATTTTTGAAAATATTTGGTTTTCCAATTAATATTTTCCTGTTTTCTTATCGTGAGACTAGTACCAGTTTTCTGACAAAAATATGCTGTTAATAATTACTTCAATTTGGTCATCATAAATGATGATACGTGTTTCATACTTGTTTGTTATACTATTTTATGCAGGAATCAGTATATTATGTAGTTATTCTTTAGTATAGGTATGGAAGTTTTATGCCTTACTGTTTCATATTATTCATATAATAATTTAATTGTTCCTAAAGAACATTTTATTTTTAAAAGGCTCACTGAAAAATGTGCTAATAATTTTGCAATGAAAATTGTTGTAACAGATGTAGTTCCTATATTTATAAATTTGGATAGATTTGTGGTTAACTTATTGAGTGTTAAAATATTATTTATTTTTCGGAAAATCAATAACTTGTTGGAATGTGGGTTACAAGAATATAATGTCGACAAATATAGTTTATAATTTATTAAAAATTCTAGTAATAGTTTGCTATAGTCTGATATTTACATACCTACTTTACGATCAGGGGCGGATACAGGAATTTGGGCGCCATTTTTAATACAAAACCTAATATTTAAGCCAATTCATAGATATTAGGGGGGCCGGGCCCCATGGGCCACCCTCTGTATCCGCCACTGTTTACGATATTTACATAGGAAAAAATGATTTCGGCGTTAGAAAGTATCAAAGGATTCTCACGTAACAAAAAGCTATTTTTTAATTATTGTTACCGAGTCCCGAAAGGCCAAAAAGATCCTAACCGAATTGTTGGTACTTTCGGTATCAGCAAACTTTTGTTCAATGATTGTGCAGTTCGTCAATCAGCAAGAAAGGGATGATTTTCAAAAGTAAAACCGATAAAAAATTGAGTTTTAAATGAAAATAATGTCAAATTATTAAGTAATAAGTCATGAGAAAATTAACATGAACACAAATATTGAACACAAGCGAAGAAAAAAAACCGAAAAAAACATAGCTTAACTCAAAATGTACATCAAACAACATAAACCAACATAACTAAATTTGAAAAAAACCCTGATATTTTCAATTAAAAATGCAAATAGATTGACGGACGTAGCCATGTGCAGATTTTGTTAATCGGAAAAAGAAATAGCAGAATTACTTCTGCCAGTCCGATAGTGGGTTCCAAATGAGCGGTTCTTTGTATTAGGCAATGATGACGAAGACGAAGACGAAGAGGTATTGTATGGAGGATTCAGTCTCCAAGTTATTATACTTTTTGTAAAGGATAGAACTTGGTAATGATGATCTTAAGATCAGAAGAGGACCACAAGAAATCTGTAAAGGTCGGAGTGGCACCCGTCAATTGCCAACTCAAAAATATTACCAGAAATGGAATACAGTAATGTCCGCCTATAACGAACCCGCTTATTGCGAACGTTCGTTTATAACGAACCAAATCTATAGGTACGAACTTCGGTATTACTAAACGTGTGGTAATTTTTTTATAACGAACTCTCGGATAAAACGAACCTTAAATTTTGATATGATCGTAATGA